GAAAGAAACTAAAAACTTCCTAGAAATCAATGAAAATTAATCCATATCATACCTAAACCTATGGGACACTATAAAAGCAGTGCTAAGAGGAAAGTTCATAGCACTTTATTGCTACATAAAGAATTTAGAGAAATCTTACACTGGCGACTTAATAGCACACCTGAAAGTTTTAAAACAAAAAGAAGCACACTCACCCAGGAGGAGTAAATGGCAGGAAATATCCAAAATTCAGTCTGAAATCAATAAAACAGAAACAAAGAAAGTGATACAAAGAATCGATGAAGCAGAGTTGGTTCTTTGAGAAAATCAATAAGATAGACAAACCTTTATTCAAACTAACCAAAAGGCAGAGAAATAATATCCAAATTAACAAAATCAGAAACAGACATAGCCACAGACACTGAGGAAATCCAGAGAATCGTTAGGTCATACTTCAAAAACCTGTACTCCACAAAACTGGAAAATTTAAAAGAAATGGACAATTTTCTTGATAGGTACCACATACCAAAATTAAATCAAGACCAGATAAACAATTTAAATAGACATATAGCTCCTAAGGAAATAGAAACAATCATTAAAATCTCCCAACAACAACAACAAAGCCCAGGGCCAAATGGTTTCAACACAGAATTCTACCAAAAATTCAAAGAAGAACTAATACCAATACTCCTCAAATTTTTTCACACAACATAAACAAAACCTAGCTACACCATTCTTGGACATATACCCATAGGATGCTCAATTATACCACAAGGCTTGCTCAACTATGTTGGTAGTAGTGTTTTTTGTAAAGGTCAGAACTTTGAAACAGCCTAGATGCCCTTCATCTGAAGAATGGATAAAGAAAATGTGGTGTATCTATACAGAGGAGTATTACTCAGTGGAGAAAAGCTAAACAATGACCTCATGAAATTCTCAGGCAAATGGATGGAACTAGAAAAAAATCATCCCGAGTGAGGTATCCCAGACCCAGAAAGACAAGCATGATGTGTACTCACTCATAAGAGGATATTAGTTGTAAAGTAAAGGATAACAAAGCTACAATCCACAGCCCCAGAGAAGCCAGGCAGCAAGAAGGGCCCAAAGAGAGGGACATGGATTTCCCTAGGAATGGGCAATAGAAGAGATGTCCTGAGTAAACTAAAGGCTGGGGTGGTGGAGGTATGGTGACATGAAGGATTGGGTTGGGCAGTTTGAAGGTGGGACAGATGGGGAGAATAATGAAAGAGGTATCTTGATGGGGCAAGGGAGAAACCTGGTGTGATGGAAACTCCCCAGAATCCACAAGGATGACTCCAGCTAAGACTCCTAACAATAGTGGAGAAGGTGCCTGAACTGGCCTCCACCTGTAATCAGATAGGTGACTATCCTAATGGTCATCAGGGAGCATTCATCCAATAACTGATAGAAGCAAATGCAAAAATTTCTAGCCAAACACTGGGCCAAGGTCTGGGAGTCCTGTTGGAGAGAGAGAGAGAAAGAGAGAGAGAGAGAGAGAGAGAGAGAGAGAGAGAGAGAGAGAGAGAAAGGATTGTATGAACCAGGGGATTCAAGATCACGGCAGAGGAACCCACAGATACAGCAGGCCTGAGTTCATGGGAGCTCACCAAGTCTGGACCAATAGTTAGAGAGCCTGCATGAGACTGACCTAGGCCCTCTGCATGTGTGTAACAGTAGTGTAGCTTGGCCTGTTTGTGGGTGGGGCTCCTAGCAGTGGGACCAGGATCTGTCCCTGGTGCTTGAACCCATTCCCTATGCTGGGTTACCTTGCCCAACCTTGATGCAGGGGAGGCTGCTGGTCCAGCCTCAACTTGATGTGCCATGCTTTGTTGACTCCCATAGGAGGCCTGCCCCTTTCTGAATGGAGATGGAAGAGGAGAGGATGGGCAGGGGACAGCCGCAGCAGAAGGGAGGTGAGAGAGGAGAGGAGAGAGGGGAAACTGTGCTTGGTATGCAAAATAAACAAAAATAAATAAATAAATAAACAAAATGTTTAAAAATATTGAGCAAAGAAAGAGAGCGAGATATCAATATGTACAACAGCATAGTTGAGCCATAAAAACATGATGCTAAGAAGGAAGCCAGTCAAAAAGGAACCTGGAGAGTATCAATCCACCAGCTAAAGTCATCGGGAGAGGTAAATCCACAGAGAGGTAGCGTTCTCTGTAGAGTAAATTGGGCCAGCTTGTACAGGTAGAGAATGATGCAGTGGTTCATTTTAAGATGATGAAAATCTTGTAAATTGATTGTGTCGATGATTACACAACTCTAAATACATCAAAAGTCTTTATGTTGATGAGTGTGTATATTATATATTTGTTTACTTTTTACGTTTTTATTTTTTGAGTATTTATAGTTCGATAAGGCTTAGGAAAAAAAAAACTAATCACAGATTAAATAAACCTACTTGACGGTTTCTTTACAGTGCCCTGGACCCTAGAACACACACCTGGGTATGGGACAGAGAACTCGCTGTGGCGAAAAGTTAGGGGCTGCCTGAAGGACGGGGTGGACTTCGGCTTTTGTGTGTTCTCAAGTTGCGATGCTGTCAACTAATCCGGAGCTGTCCAGGATGGTAGCCTTCAGCCACGTGTGATCATTGAGCTCCTCCAATGTGGGTGACCCAATTGAGATGAATATGTACACACCAGACTCTGGCAGTTGGCATTAACACACACACACACACACACACACACACACACTAATTTTAATAATGTTTGGTACTGACTGAATGATGAAATAATATTTCGGATATACTTGTCAAAATTGCAATGCTTTCAATACTTTTACAAATTTAAAAGATCATATTCTCCAAGAAGGGAAGGCTTCCCCGGGAGGGTTGGCTGTACTGACACGTGGGTATCCCCTGGATAATAGGGGAGACATTAGGTGAGGAGGCAGCTCATAGAGGGTGGGGCGTGAGCTTGGGGGGAAGAGGGACACTAGGATGATGACATGCTGTCTTGAGCTCTACTTAATTTCCTTTCTTGGGCCGTTTTCTTTTTAAACAGAGTATCTCGATACTTTGACAGTTTTGTATTATGTTTATAACATATACTAGTCATATCTACTCAGACTCTCCACCCCCAACACATTCTTTCAGGCTCTCTCTCTCTCTCTCTCTCTCTCTCTCTCTCTCTCTCTCTCCCTCCCTCCCTCCCTCCCTCCCTCCCTCCCTCCCTCTCTCTCCTCTCCTCTCCCATCATACTTTAGTGCTGCCTGTTGGAATGTGGACTGATGTTGGCTTGGTTTCGTGATCTCACGTGAGCAGACATACCTGTGGTGAGTTCGGGAGCGTGGTCACGGGATGTCCTGAAGACCCCATTCCACAGCTTTCTTCCCCATCCCTCAGCTCTCAGTGCTTTGTCTTCCACGATGTTCCCTGAGCCTTGGGTGAAAGTTGCTAGAGATGCCCTTTTAGGGCGAGCACTCAAGTCCCTTATTCTCAGCATGTTGATGAGTGAGGAGTCTCTTCATTAAGCACTGACCACTGCAGAGAGAGGCTCCTCTGGCTAAGGGTGAAGGCAGCGTTAATCTCTGTTTATAAACATTAGTATTTAGAAGCCAGTTTGACAAAGTGTTCATTTAACAAGACAACAGCTGTCTAAGTTCCTCCATAGGGCCTATAACCTCCTGACTCACAGTTGTTTGGCCAGGTTTACGGTACTAGGAAGGATTTCCTTCCAGTTAATTAGATCTGACTCAAGAATGGTTGATTACCTCATAACATTTGGGCCTCTATTGCACCAGTGGGCACATCCTTAGGCATTTCTTTAGATCATGGATCCTGAAGCCTGTGCCTTTAGGACCTGTGATAACTATTCTTGGTTGTTAAATTGATTCCATTTGAAATTCACTGAAAACTCAAGCTGCTATGAGGAATTTTTAGTTAACTGGATCTTTTGAGGTAGGAAGATCCACCTTAAATCCTTAAATTTGAGATCAGAAGACCCACCCTAAATCTGAGCCACACCTTCTTATGATAGTCTATTTAAAGGATAAGAAAGAAGGAAGATTTTGCCCTTTGCTTGCTTGCCTCGCTTCACTGACAAGTGTTATAGAATAATCTTTTTGTACACTGTGAAGAAATGTTACTTGGATTGATTTAATAAAAAAGCTAAATGGCTAATAGCTAGGCAAGGTTTTTGGGGCAAAGAGGACTCTGGGAAGAATAGGGGCGGAGTCAAGAGGAGACACCAGAAGTTGCAGAGCAAGCAGCATGGGCTTTACAAAGTAAAGGTAGCCAAGCCACGTAAAAGAATGTAGATTAAAAGATATAGTTAATTTAAGCTATAAGAACTGGTTATATACAAGCCTAAGCTATTGGCTGGGCTTTCATAATTAATAAGAAGTGTGGTTCTTTGGGAGCTGGCTGGCAGGACAGGAAAAGTCCGACTAAGGGAAGTTCATTCCCTCACTGTTCTTAGCGCCTACTTCTTCGAGATCCTGATGTGTGCTAAAGACCAGCTAAGACATCCAGTCTCGTGGGCTGAGCAACAACTGGATTCTCAGACTTTCTGTTTTAGATAGCCATTGCTGAACTAACTGGACCACAGCCTGTAAGCCACTCCCACAGATCTCCTGTGTATAAATACAGACGCATTTTGTCGTGTCTGTTCGTCTAAAAAACCCTGACTAATGCAGGAGCCCAGAGCCGAGCTCTCAAAGACATCTCTGTCTCCAGTTACGATTTTAAAGGAAGAAGTGATGGGGCGGGTGCGTGCTTCATTTCTTTCTCAGTTTTATAAACATGTTTAACCACATACTTCCCCGAGCAGTGGCGATGGATCATTTGGGAACTGTGGCAGCTGTTCTTGGTTGCCAACTCGACTCCTGGAATTAAACATTCTCCGTTAAACAGATTCTGAGATGGGGAACATAAGAGAGGTCAAAAGGAAATCCCAGAGTTCTTGGTTTAGGGAAGTAGACCTCATTGTGTGTCCAGTAGAAAAGCTGATTCCGGTAGAGATGTGTGGAGGGGCAGAAGGAAGGGGTTTTGCTGTCTCCGCATTCACACAGTGACCGGACAAGCGTGGAGGCCACCATCATCCTTTAGTTTTGATTGCCCATTTGTTGTGGTCGTTTGATAAGAATTTGAGTTTGGTAACTGAAATCAAGTCAGTGGAAGTATCAAGGGTCTTATTTGAGAAAACAGGGCCTTGGCTTTGGTGGCAGTTTCTTTTGGTTTTGTCTGATTTTTTTTTTCACACAGAACTTTAAAAGCTGAAGATGAAGTTCTGAAGAAAATTAGAAAATATTAATGGGAAAGCCTCGTACCAAACGGCATCTGAAAGCCAGTGATCGAAAGGCTGGCATTTGTCCTAGGAACCGCTCACAAATCACCTTTTTTCTATGAGAAGAAAGAAAAAAATCTCTTGCAAAACTTTAATCTTGCCTCCTGACTTCTACCGCTCAGTTACTGGACAGTGAGCTAATCAAAAGAGGAAGCCGGGCAGCGGTGGCACAAGTCTTTAATCCCAGCAGAGGCAGGCCAGTCTTCGCGAGTTCGAGGCCAGCCTGATCTACAGAATGAGTTCCAGGACATCCAGGGCTACACAGAGAGACCCTGTCTCGAAAAACAAACAAACTGAAAGAGCAGAGGAAAAGCAAAGCAGATGAGACGCACCAGAAACACAACAGCATTGCCACAACGGCCACCGTAAGCAGGTTGAATTGAGCCAACAACGGTCTATGGATTATTAACACCGCTGCTTCACTCCACCAGTGGAGACAGAAATGAGCCTACTTACTGCAGTGAAAGATAAAGACAGAAGCAGAGCGAGATTACTGTATTTGACTACAAGTCTACAAAGTCATTTCATAGGCCAGAGAACAGAACCTGGGCTTAAGTTTTCTATGTGGTGTAATTCCAGTAATTAACAGTAGGTGGCAGTAATGAGTCCCTTTTTGCAATGCTGAAAGCAGTTGCCAAAAGAAAAAAAAAGCTTGAGGTTGAGGAAGTGCTTGAATTTCTTATTGCTATGCCAGAGAGGCAAGTTGTCTTGGTAAGTAAAACAAATTACTTTACTCTCTTTAGAAATAAGGACAATGCTTGTTGCCACGTGGAAATAGAAAATGTCTCTATGATCAAGTTGTGCATGTTTCTCTAAGTAGGCTTGCTTCTGGTGATTACTTACTGTGAACTGTGTGGCTTGAAACTAGTGTTTGTCCAACTTAAAGCAGAGAAAACCTTCATCTTGTGAGATTTGTTTTTAACAGCTCGTGTTGGGCGATGTGGGGGTGTGGGGGAGTGGGAGTAACACACACACACACACACACACACACACACACACACACACACAGAGAGAGAGAGAGAGAGAGAGAGAGAGAGAAGCATTTGGTCACAGGTGTTTTTGCTTTTTAAGTGACCTCTCCTCTCCTCTCCTCTCCCCTCCTCTCCTCTCCTCTCCCCTCTTCTCCTGTCTTCTCCTCTCCTCTCCCCTCCTCTCCTGTCTTCTCCTCTCCTCTCCTCTCCTGTCTTCTCCTCTCCTCTCCTCTCCTCTCCTCTCCCCTCCTCTCCCCTCCTCTCCTGTCTTCTCCTCTCCTCTCCTCTCCTCTCCGTCTTCTCCTGTCTTCTCCTCTCCTCTCCTCTCCTCTCCTCTCCTCTCCTGTCTTTTCCTCTCCTCTCCTCTCCTCTCCTCTCCTCTCCTCTCCTCTCCTCTCCTCTCTCTTCTTCCCTCTCATCCTCTCCCTTCCCCTTTCCTCTCCTGTTTCCCATCCATAGTCCTTTCAATGAAACGTTCAGGAGAATGGACAAGCTGTGACCTGCATACATTTGAGTGACCACACAGTCACAGCAAGTAATGATCAGAATTCCACATGTTGGAACTTACTACCCTCTGTGAGGCGCCAAGAGAGAGGAAGCTCAATCTGACGATGGCATTTGGAGGTGGTCCTTTGGGAGGAAACTAGAATTGGATTCAATCAGATCGTCAGAGTAGAGGCCCATGGTTGAATACTGGTGATTAAATAAAAGCAAAGGGGAGTAACCAGAATGCATATATATGTCCCCATCTTTTGCCTTGAGATGCCCCTTTGCTGCCTAGGATTCTGCTATCAAGGTCACTGCCAGATGTGACCCCTTGACTGTAGACCAAGACTGTAAGTAAAATTGACTTCGTTTCTTTGCCAAGCAGTCTGTCTCAGGCGTTTCATTATACCAGGGAAAACAGTCTGCACAGTGGAACTCAGTTTCTCTGGGAGAAGCGCTGTAAACACACAAAACAGCTCCTTGTTAATGGAGAGGGTTACTTTCATTTTTATTCTGGGTTTTTCTTACTGTATATTCTTGATGTTTTCCCAGACTATGGAAACTGTTCTGGGGAGCTAGAGGTCGAGGTGGAAGTTTGGCTTTGAAATGCTCCCCAAGCCACATCCAAGTAGATGAATGCAGGAGTTTGCGCAGACACACAGGGAGCCAACAGAAATGCTTGCCCTCCGTCCAGACCTTCCCGGGCTGGTTAATAGTTACCCTAGCTCAGGGAAAACTCTTCACACATGTTTGAAGAACTGAACTTAATGAGTCAGGTTCATTGTGGGGGTGTTGTCCTATTTAAGATCAACCAAACCCTGATTGATATCCCCAGAGTTTTTGAGCAGAGGTAACGCAAACACGTTAGTTCCTTGTGTCATTTGATGGCAGCTAAGCTTGTCCTGGATCATAAAAATGGACGTACATGTATCTGAAGGCTTTTATGCTTTGAAAGTCCCCTTTCACTGTCCAGTTAATGAATCATCCTTTTCTACTTAATGGTAAAATGGTTTTGAGGTTCTAAAATAAATGGGTGTTAGTGACTATTGTTAAGACTCTGCTCAACAATGTTTTGGCAGGGCATGGTGCTACATACATCCCAGCATTTTGGAAGCTGAGACAGGAGGATCACTGTGAGTTTGAGACCATCCATTTTACATAGCTACAAAGTAAGTTCTAGGATAGCCAGGGTTACATATTGGGAGGAGTCTCAAGAACAAAAATGGCAACAACAGGAATTTGGTTTTGTTTGGACAAGAAAATTTAGATATTGATTTTCAGTGGCTTTAGCAAGTTTATTATCTATAATTTATAGCTTCAAATATCTAAATTTATTTAAATGTCTAAAGTATCTACAACAAATATCTAAAATTGATTTCTTCATGTTTATAATACTTTCATTTTTTTGAAAAACACTTATTTCTTGATCTGGAGTGTGTGCCTGCGTTTGCATGTGCACATGTGGAGGTCTGTGGGATGCTGGAGCGGAATAATTGGGGCATTTCTCGGCCTTTCCCAGGGCAATCAATGTGGTGCAAAGGCTAGTCCTGCTTTTCACGTGAACGTTAATACGGTCATCTTTCTTGCTCAGAGATTTCCTGAATGCAGCTGGTGGAGAACTCAAGATAGCCAGGACATCCGTGGACACCCCTGCAGAAAGGTCAGCCCAGGGAGACCTCTGCATGTCTACCTGGGGAACTTTTATAGCACAGGGCTACATCTCAGAATTGAATTCTTTAGGTCTGTCTTCACCCTTTGATGACTGGTGATGTGGACAGGATTTGGCTCTTTGTTGGTATCCTGGTGGCTTGTCTTTAATGCCAGTCTAGGGGGTTAAATCAGTTTCCTGAGACAGCTGCCGAGCTTGCAGCCTGTAAAGAGCCTCTAATGCTTATCTCAACTCAGCTGCCTCTGCCCTCACACCATTGGAAAGGGGACAGGACAGCATCCAAGGTCGTAGGGGCTGATAACTAGAGCAATGAGCACAGCCCCAAATGTCTGGCATGTCTGAGAGGGACATATTCATTTGATGAATGAACAAAAAAGATTTTCTGAAGTTTTTCCATCCTCGAATCCCCCCAATATTGAAAGAGTGAATTATTCTTGTGATTCAGTATCCTTGTGACTCGTAGGATCTGTTGGGATTTGAATGTGAAATGTCCCCCAGAGGCTCGTGTGCTTGAACACTTGGTCCCCAGTTGGTGTTCTTTGGGGAGGTGATGGAATCTTCACGAGGTGGAGCCTTGTGGGGGAAGTATATCTGTCACTGGGGATGGGTTTTGAAGGTTAATAGCCTTACCTCACTTCCTTCCTCTCGCTCTGCCTCCTGTGTATGGATGGAAAGGTGATCGCCAGGCCTTCCTGCTCCTGCGGCCTTGCCTTTTCCACCATAATGACTCTGTGTCCCCTTCCCCAGCCACTCCAGCATCCATGCCTTCTCCACCATAACCCTGGAGCCCCTCCTGCGGCCATGCCTTCTCCACCATAACCCTGGAACCCCTCCTGCGGCCATGCCTTCTCCACCATATCCCTGGAGCCCCTCCTGCGGCCATGCCTTCTCCACCATAACCCTGGAGTCCCTCCAGCAGCCATGCCTTCTTCACCATAATGACTCTGCCTCCCCACCCCTCCTGAGGCCATGTCTTCTCCACCATAATGACTCTGTGTCCCCCACCCCCAACCCCTCCAGCATCCATGCCTTCTCCACCATCACCCTGGAGCCCCTTCAGCGGCTCTTCCTTCTCCACCATTAGGACTCTTTCCCCCTAGAACCGCAAACTAAAATAAACCCAATTTTTCCTTCAGCTGCTCTTGTTAGGGTATTTATCACAGCAACAGAAGTATCTAATAGGGGATCTAACCCTGCTTCCTAGTCATGACCAACAAGGCCTCTTGCGTTTGTTTACCCTGGACTATTGCTGGCCACCCTGTCCCTCAGAGCAGCTCATCGCAGGTCCATCTCAAGACTTTATATTTGCCCCCCCTTTTTTTGCTAGAAGGGCTCTTTGGCTTCATTTCAATTTCTACCCCAAGGTCATCTCAAAAGGCTTTCTCCAGCGAATTAGTCAAAACTAATTACTTAGCACTGTATCAGACCTGAAGTTACCCTGACTCATTTTTCTAGATTACTCTTTAACTACTGCATGAAATTAAAATGAGTTATTTATTAGCAGGGCTTTGTTTTGAGAGACAGGAGTTGCTCTTCTTCCCTGGTCTGTGTCTGGGCCCCAAAACACTCATACATATTGGCTGGATGGATGAATGAATGAATGAATGAATGAATGAACAACCTTTACTGTGATCTTTATCAGCTTGAGTGGAACCAAAGTTGGGTCCAAGACTTTATACAGGTAATCACAGTGATGCCAGAGATGCCAGGGTAGTCGCGACTCTGCCACCTAGGGGGTCTCTTCAGAGAGTCACGGGACACCTGAACTTTCCTCGTCAAAGCATTAAAGGACGCGAAGTGAGTCTCAGCTTTGGTTTTGAATGAGTGTTTGACAGGGCCAGAGCCAGGGAACTGTCTTAATTAGGATTACTGCTGCTGAGATGAAACCCCATGGCCAAGCAGCTTGGGGAGGAAAGGGTTTCTTTGGTGTACACTTCCATACCATAGTTCGTCATTGAGAGAAGTCAGGGCAGGAACTCAAATAGAGTGGGTATCTGAATGCCAGAGCTGATGCAGAGGCCATGGAGGGGGGCTGCTCACACCTTGCTCAGTCTGCCTTCTTGTAGAACCCAGAATCACCAGCCCAGGGAGGGTACCACCCACAATGGACTGGGCCCCCTCCCATCAATCACTAGTTAGGAAAATGCCCTATTGCCCAATCTTTTTTTTCCTTTGTAAAAGCGTTGAAATATTTATTTGAATTCTATTTCTTCTTTCTTTTCCTTTTTAAAACTTATTTTTAAAATAATCTTTTCTCATTTTACATATCAATTGCAGCTCCCTCTCCCTCCTTTTCTCCCTCTCCCCGCACCTTCCCACCCATCCACCTACTCCTCAGAGAGGGTAAGGCTTCCCATGGTGAGTCAAGAAAGTCTGGCACATCACTTTGAGGCAGGATCAAGCCACCCGCCCCCCTCCCATATCTGGAGTGAGTAAGGTATTCCTTCAAAGAGAATAGACTCCAAAAATGCCATAAATCCTGGTCACACTGCCAGTGGCTCCACAGACTGCCCCAGTCACACAACTGTCACCTACATTCAGAGGGCCTAGTTTGGTGCTGTGCAGGTTCCCCTGCTGTCAGTCCAGAGTCAGTGAGCTCCGACTAGCTCAGCTCAGCTGTTTCTCTGGGCACTCCCATCATGGTCTTGACCCCTTCCCTCTCTCCTCCTGGACTCTGGGAGCGTGGCCCAGCGCTAGCTGTGGTCCTCTGCATCTGCTTCCCTCAGTTGCTGGATGAAGTTTCTATGACGACAATTAAGGTAATCGTCAATCTGATTACAGGGGAAGGCCAGCTCAGGTACCCTCTCCACTATTGCTTATGGTCTTAGCTGGGGTCATCTTGCGAATTCCTACAGCCAGATCTTATGGAGGCTTTTTCTCAACTGAGGTCCCCTCCTTTCAGATGACTCCAGCTTATGTCAGGTTAACATCCAACTATACAACAAAAGGGGTTTCCGTGGGCCCATCTGTGTTCCAATTCTACAGCTCCTGCAGTAAGCCATTGTGAATTTAATAGCTTAAAAGAACAGTAATTTATTCTGGGGACTGAAAATACAGGCATCAGCGGAGCTGTGGTCTCTCTGTGACTTTCTCCAGTTCCTACGGTATATAAATTAGTTTCCTCCACACATGTCCTCAGGCACACACACACACACACACACAGTACCTACTGTTCATCTATCCACCATCTACCAAATTTATCAGTCTTCCTGATTTTGGGTTGTATAACTCTAAAGAATGTAGCCTTCACGTCATAAATCTCTAATAACAAAAGCTGTTTAATATCTGATTTCATATAATCATTTCGTGTGAATTTTTCCTAGGATCTGTACCCATGTCGAAAGTGCTCTGAAGGATATAGCAGCTGCCTCAGGAATGTTTATTGCCATACAATGACTAAAATGAATTCTGTCATCTTCTATGTTATCATTGTCTTGGGATTGATACTTATCAAAATCCAATTATCTGATGGAAGTGAACTCATCATTAAGAGGCCAAGAGCAAACCTCACCCATGTGCCCAAGGACCTACCCTTGACAACAACTACTTTAGATCTATCACAAAACAACATATCTGAACTTCAGACTTCCGACATCCTCTCGCTGTCCAAGCTGAGGGCCTTGATGATGCCCTACAACAGACTCCAGTATCTTGATATTGGCGTTTTCGAATTCAACACGGAACTGGAATATTTGGATTTGTCCCACAATGAGTTAAGGGTGATTTCTTGCCACCCCACAGTCAACTTCAAGCATTTAGATCTTTCCTTCAATGCGTTTGCTGCCCTTCCCATATGCAAAGAGTTTGGCAACATGTCCCAGTTAAACTTCCTGGGACTGAGTGGTAGTCGGGTGCAAAGTGCGAGTGTGCAGCCGATTGCTCACTTATATATTTCACAGGTTTTGCTGGTGTTAGGAGACACTTACGGGGAGAGAGAAGACCCTGAGTGTCTTCAGCACATTAACACTGGGGCTCTGCATGTTGTTTTCCCCGAGAAAAGAGAATTTGGTTTTATGCTGGATGTATCAGTCAGCACTGTAAACAGTTTGGAACTGTCTAACATCAAGTGTGGACATGAAAACTCGACGTGTTCTCATTTCTTAAGTGCTTTGTTAAAGCTTAGAAAGAATCCGGGGCTATCAAGTCTTACCTTAAACAACATTGAAACATCCTGGGATTCCTTCCTTGAGATCCTCCAGTCTGTTTGGCATTCACCCGTAAAGTATTTCTCAATTTCAAACATGACACTACAGGGGCAAGTTGAATTTAGAAATTTCAATTATTCTGACACTTCTCTGAAGGCTTTGTCAATACATCAAGTTGTCAGTGAAGTGTACAGTTTGCCACAAAAATACATTTATGGTATCTTTTCCAATATGAACATCCAAAACTTCACAGTGTCTGGAACACGCATGCTCCACATGCTTTGCCCGTCCAAAGTTAGCCCATTTCTGTATTTGGACTTCACAGATAACCTCTTAACAGACACGGTCTTTAAAGATTGCAGAAACTTAGTTGAATTGAAAACACTGAGTTTACAAAAGAACCAGTTGAAAAAACTTGAAAATACAATTCTTATGTCTGCGGAGATGAAATCACTAGAAAAACTAGATGTTAGCCAGAATTTTCTGCAGTACAGTGAGGAGGAAAACCTATGCTCCTGGACGGAGAGTTTACTAGTTTTAAATTTGTCTTCAAATATGCTTACTGACTCTGTCTTCAGATGCTTGCCCCCCAAGGTCAAGGTCCTTGACCTTCACAACAACAGAATCATGAGCATCCCTAAAGATATCACCTACCTGCAAGATTTGCAGGAACTCAATGTTGCATCCAATTCTTTAACGGACCTTCCCGGATGCAGGGCCTTCAGCAGCCTTTCTGTGCTGGTCATCGAGCATAATTTAGTTTCCCACCCCTCAGTGGATTTCTTTCAGAGCTGTCAGAAGATCAGGTCCTTAACAGCAGGGAACAACCCATTCCGATGCACCTGTGAGCTGAGAGAGTTTATCAGAAACATAGGCCACATATCAGGGGAAGTGGTAGAGGGCTGGCCCGATGCTTACAGGTGTGACTCCCCAGAAAGCGCTAAGGGGACCCCACTGCAGGACTTCCACATGTCTCCATTGTCCTGTGATACTGTTCTGCTGATTGTCACCGTCGGGGCCACTTTGCTGGGGTTGGTTGCCATCATGGCTTTCCTCTGGCTCTACTTTGATCTGCCCTGGTACCTAAGGATGATGTGTCAGTGGACACAGACCCGGCACAGGGCCAGGAACATCCCTGAAGAGGAACTCCAGAGGAAACTCCAATTCCACGCTTTTGTCTCATACAGTGGACATGATTCCACCTGGGTGAAGAATGAATTACTACCAAACCTAGAGAAAGATGGCATACAGATTTGCCTCCATGAGAGAAACTTTATCCCTGGCAAGAGCATCATGGAGAACATCATCCATTTCATCGAGAAGAGTTACAAGTCCATCTTTGTGTTGTCTCCCCACTTCATCCAGAGTGAGTGGTGCCATTATGAGCTCTACTTTGCCCATCACAATCTCTTCCACGAAGGGTCTGATAACTTAATCCTGATCTTGCTGGAGCCCATTCCTCAGTACTCCATCCCTAGCAAGTACCACAAACTTAAATCTCTCATGGCTCAGAGGACTTACTTGGAATGGCCTATGGAGAATAGCAAACATAGACTTTTTTGGGCAAACCTAAGAGCAACCATTAATGTCAAGCTGGTTAGCCAAGCAGAAACCACATGTCACATACAGAGATAAGAATATTCACTTCTTCCAGGTTGCTGCCTTGGGCAGTTCTGATAGTGGTGCCATTGGCATCAGCATGAACCTAAAAATAATTTGACATTATGATGTAGGAATTTGTGCTTTTAAGTTCACCACTAGAGTGTGGTAATAAAAATTAGTGGAGTACTTTAATATTTGTTGAAATCATTTATTTCTTTTTTTTAAAACAAATACTGTTTGTGTATATAAATATTGTATCTTACCTGATTTATTTCTGTATACCACATGCATGCCTGGTGCCCTCAGAGACCAGCAGAGGGTGTTTGAGTCACCGGAGTTCCAGGTAGCTGTGAGCTGCCATGTGGGTGCTGGGAATCGAAGCTGGGTTCTCGGAAAGAGCACCCAGTGCTCTAGTCCAGCCCCAAACCAGTTTCAAACACTTAAGGGATTCATTGGCTTCTTTGCTATAACCACAGTCATGGAAGTTACTGTAGACTCGGGAGCAGCCCTTTCTTCTGCAGATGTGTGTGTGTCTGTGTGCTAGGTCAGCCGTAGACGAACTCTGACTCAGTTCCCTTCAGGTTGACTTTCCCATCCTTCTTTCTCGCTTCACCCTGCCAGGCCCTTCACCCTTAGGTCCTGATAGTACTTTTCCCACATACATTGCCTGCACATGAAGCTCTTGTCTCGGTTTCCATGTAATGGAGGGGTTGAAGGGCAGAGGATGGCATAGTCTATGCATGACTGCATGTGTGTGCAGAATAAAATCCCTTCTTCTGAGGAGCTCACAGTAAGGCCTGTGTGTCCCCAGATTCAGAAGGAATAATGAAACAAGAACATACAGTGGAGTTCAGAGATTATTTAGTGTGGCCATCTTAGAAATAATAGGTAGTTAATCTCAGCACCTAGGTGACAGAGGTGAATGGATCTCTGAGTTCAAGGCCACCCTCATCTACAGAGCAAGTTCCAGGACAGCCAAGGCTCTGTAGAGAGACCCTGTCTCAAAATAAGCACAAATAAAGCTGAGAAAAATTAGAAATGGTGGGTTAGATTTTCTTTTTTTCTTTTAAGATTTTTTTATTTATTTATACAGCACCCTGCCTGTAGGCCAGAAGAAAGCACCAGATTTCATTATAGGTGGTTGTGAGCCACTATGTGGTTACTGGGCATTGAACTCAGGACCTCTGGAAGAGCAGTCAGTGCTCTTAACTGCTGAGCCATCTCTCCAGCCCCTGGGTTAGATTTTCCGCTGGGTGTTGAAGGAAGTCACAGTATGTAATGGGGAAGCACGGAAAGTCCATTACAATAAAGAGATCAAAGGCTGGGATACCCAGACTTATTCTGGGACTGGTGTCCCACTGTGCTAGGATATGAAGGTTCACGACAAATAAAACTAGTATATAGCTGTTGGCAGTTAAATAAAACCACATTGCAGTCATGCCTGCAATACTAGTAACTTCCAGACTGAGGTAGGAGGTTCCCGAATTTTAGGCCAGCCTGGATTACATAGTTAGAGCCTGTCTCCAGGAGGAGGAGGAGGACAAAGGAAAGGAGGAGCATGTTGTCAATGGTCCTAATTAGACTACTGAGTCAGAACTGGGGATTTAAGAAACACAACTTAACATCTAGGAAGCACAGTGGGGGTGAACACCAACCATGAACCTGTTATTCCGTGATGCCGAGGCAACAGTTGTTCTGGATTCTCCCATGTCCCCTAGGACCGCTCTGCTTCCCAAATTATGCTGCTAGATTTTACAATGCAGTTTCAACTTCTGATTTTATAGAACTTCGGGCACTTCTGTGCAGAGACCATGTTTTCACAGACTGAATAGTTGAAGTTTCTTGTCTCAGGGTTCTGGGGCTTGATGTTCACAGTCGTGATAAGGGTGGGGTCTGTTCCTCGTGAGAGGAGGGAAGGAAGGACCTGCTCCCTGTCTCTTCTTGATTTGCATTTGGCTATTTTCTCCCTATATTTCTTCACTTTGTCTTCCCTGTTTGCACATCTGCTTCTGTGTTCTAATTTCCCATTTCCATATAGAAATCTATGGTCTGGCCTTGGTCCGATATGAATATTCCTCTCTTAATTATAACTGCAATGTTCCCATTCCCAAGAAAGGCCCCATTCGGAAGTACTGAGTTTCAAGGGTGCAACCTAGGAATTTGGAAGATACAATTCAACCCCAACACCTCAAAGTCTAAAAGGCGGTCTCTGTAGTGAGAAGCAATGATTCAAAGACTCCCAGAGTTTATCCAGCAAAGTCAGGATGTTGAGACATTAAATCAAGTCTTCTATGTAGACAGCGGAACTCATGTGCAGCTTCACGGGGGCTGCCAAGAGTCTGCAGGTGCACTTTTGGCTTCTTCTGTCCAAGAATTCCAAGCCGAGAGATGAAGAACTTGGGTCAAAGCACAGATTAAAAGCAATGAAAGTAAGAAACATAGAATTCAGCAAAGTGGAGGTGGCACAGGCCTTTAATCCTAGCAGCCGGGAGGCAGAGGAAATGGATTTCTGAGTTTGTGGCCATCCTGGTCTACAGAGCCAGTTCTGGGACAGCCAGGGTTACACAGAGAAACCCTGTCTCAAACAAACAAACAAACAAACAAACAAACAAACGAACCCCCCCCCAAAAAAAAGAAAGGAAGGAAGAAAAAGAAAAGAAAAGTAGATTTCAAATGAACCCAGTGTGGGTTTCAGCTCTAGCTTCTGCTCTCATTCGCGATGACCGTAAACAAACCACTTCAACCTTCTAAGCTGATCTTAGTATTTATATTAGAGATTTTTTCAAAAAGTATCCTTAAGAGAGTTAGTCAACACCTCTAGATTTCCAGATATAATTTAAAATTGCTCAAACGTGTTCCCCAAATTACAAGCTTTCCATGGGGGCTCCATTCTATTTCTTAGCACCGGAGTGTGAGATATACACCTTTCCCTTTGGGGCGTAACTAGGACCCATGAAGAACAAAACCCAGCTCCACAGTGCTCTGCTGAAATGAGCAGGGGGGTTATTCTTCACATACCTTGATTTTGCAGGTCAGCCGTTCGAAGCTGGTACGTACTCTCACCGTCCAAGCCTCTTCAGCCTTTTCACATTACTGCCAAAAGCAAATAGGCCCCGTTCTTATGTCTTAAAATGGCCCTTGGTTTCATTTCATCGTCACTCCCAGAAGGATGAAGAGCTAAGGGCAATGGTTCAAGCTTGGCGAGCCTGTCCCTTTACATCAAAACCCAGCAACTTTACTGCGCAGGCTTTCAGGTCCATCTCTTAATTGCTCGGAGTGGAATGTCAGGACCACCCTTAGCAGGTGCTGGGGAATATTTTAAAGAGACATACTATCATGTCCTCTATCCAAAGTGGGGTTCTTCAAACAGAAGTAGGCAGGATGTTCTGTGTTAATGTCAGATTTTTAAAATGTCACTGGTCTGGAGGTTAGGGGATAGCCCTATTAATGAAGCACTTGCTTTACAAAGACAGGGACCCAGATTTCCAGAACTAAGATTTGAAGCCCAGGTGTGGTGAAATGCCTTTGTAAGCCCAGTGTGGGGGAGGCAAAGATGGGTGGATCTGTGTAGCTCGCTGGTTAGCCAGGCTAGCCCAAGTAAGTCTCAGGCTAGCCCAGAGAGTTCCAAAACAGTGGGGAGACTTGTCTCAAATGAGCAAATTAATTAAAAAGGTGGACAGCACCCAAAGGATGACACCTGAGGCTGTTCTCTAGCCTCCACATGTATGTGTGTGTACACACATGCACCCATATGTGTACTCATGTATGCGTACACATAGCACATTTCCTGGCCTGGAAAAATGCTCACAGTGTAACGAAAAGTGAGAAACAAGACAGAGAACATATATAATGTAAATTGAATTTTGTTTTCAAAACTAAATCTATATATATGTACACATAAATGCTGTATATACATACATATTCACACACATATATGTAAATATATGCTGGCTAGTTTTAGGTCCACTTGTCACAAACTATAGTCTTCTGAGGAGGGAGCCTCAGTTGAGAAAATGGCTTCAGAAGGTTGGACTGTAAACTGGCAAGCCTGTAGTTTTCTTAATTAGTGACTGATGAGGGATGGGCAGTCCATTGTGGGTGGGGACATCCCTTGACTGACAGTCCTGGGTTCTATAAGAAAGCAGGTTGTACAAGGCATGGGGAGCAGGCCAGTAAACAGCACCCCTAAATGGCTTCTGTATCAGCTCCTACCTCCAGGTGCCTGCCTGCTTGAGTTTCTGCCTTGGCTTTGCTCAATGAACTATTGATCCAGGCTATGGAAAACAAATTCCTCCCCAATTGCTTTTGGTTATGGTGTTCCATCACAGCAGTGGAAAAGTAACTAAGACAATATGCATACCCATACACATGGGAAAATATAACATTAGTAGTAATTAACTTCTACAGTGTTACTCTCCAGTGGGGTACTGATCAATACATATAGCTTTTGTTTTATTAAATATCTTCCCTGTATGTTTTAAGTATTCTATAATGATCTTATAGTGTAAAGGGAAATATTTTACTTTTTTAAAAAATATAGAAAGCATGCTATTTTAAAAATAATACCTCATTCTTTCAAAGAAAACTAGGTATGAATATGTGTACTTATTTTCTCTTCACGTTAAAAGAAAGGAAGCTGCTGTTTCCAACTGCTGCTGCGAGTTCTGAGTCCTGCTTCTTTTCCTCAGCTTCATTCACCTTCTTGGAGAAGAGACCCTCTTCCTGCTAAGTTCGATTACTTCCCTCATGGGGCGAGGTTTGACTGGTTTTCTATTCAGGGTTCTCCATCCACTGAGCTGATTCCTCACCTTCTTTGCCAGCCCTTCTTGCTCCTTTTTCAGGAGTTCAGGCTCACTCAGGCTCAAAGAATGTTGAACAATGGAGTAAAGCTTGAGGTATGGAAATCTCCCAAGAGCAACTTCTTGGAGAATGAAACTATGCTACATAGAAAGACAATCTCTATATGATGGTCACATCCTGGGTTTATGCCATGCAGAGCATCTTTGAATGCTTGGGACAGAATTGAAGAAGTAGGAAAGAAGAATATTTTAGTAAATGTTGAATAATTTAGTAAATATTGAATATTTACTAAAGTCGTACAGGACCCAAAAGAAAGCTTCACAGATTTCTTATGAAGATTGACATCAATAGTAAATAGAATGATACCAAATTCAAAAGCTAGACAAATGATA